TGTTTGTCCTACGATGACACCTCTGTGAAAAGGGTCTATTGTAAATGATGATCAACAACAATGATAACTGTGGGGGGGCGTGGTGCATCAGCCGCAAGGGGGAGCTGTGGAGAGGGCTCGTGAGAGCCGCGCCAGGTGAGAGTGATTGGCACACCTGGGTTCCATTGGGCTAATCACTCTCTCCCTTTATAAACACAGTAGCGTGCTGGACCCGGGAGAGCGGAGACCCGAGCACACGGGTCGGCGACCGGAGCCAGAGCTGGGCCCGCGGCGACGACAGTGTGCGAGACAATTGTAAAAAAACCTATTAAAACCTATTCTCAAGGAGACCGACTGTGTGATTCCCTACCTTCCCAGTTCAGGCGCCAGTGTGACACGTTAGATGCCACGGGGTTCGGAAGGTAGGGAATCACACAGTCGGTCTCCTTGAGAATAGGTTTTAATTGCATATACAATTGTCTCGCACACTGGCGTCGCCGCGGGCCCAGCTCTGGCTCCGGTCGCCGACCCGTGTGCTCGGGTCTCCGCTCTCCCGGGTCCAGCACGCTACTGTGTTTATAAAGGGAGAGAGTGATTAGCCCAATGGAACCCAGGTGTGCCAATCACTCTCACCTGGCGCGGCTCTCACGAGCCCTCTCCACAGCTCCCCCTTGCGGCTGTTGCACCACGCCCCCCCCACAATAACTAACTCAATTATTCAACACAAGATAAGAATAAATCAATCAGCCCATTTTTCATGTTAATTTTGACTTTGTGTCCGTTGGTCCTGCCCCCCTCTAATTTCTCCACCCTGATGGACAGTCGGAGGACTTTTTCGGCATGAGGCGGCTTTACATGATTCTGGGTTCCTGTCTGTTCTACAAGGTATGACACGCACACATGCTCACTCACTCACTCACTCACTCACTTAGATACACACACACACTCACTCACTCGCATTAAAAGAGTGTCCGCTTTAACTTCACATCACATCTTCACGTTCCCCTTCCGTGTGTGTGTGTGTGTGTGTGCGTATGCGTTCCCCTCCGCAGGGCTACCTCATAGCCAACCACCTGCCCAGGGAGGACCTGCTGGACTTGTGTCTGTACTGCCAGCACTACTGCTTGCTGCCACTGGCCTCAGAGCAGCGGGTGGGCCAGTTGCTGGTCTGGAGGGAGGTGTTCCCCCTGCACCGCAGCCAGCAGAGGGCGTCGTGCGGCGTGGCGTACTGTGGGCCGCCCCGTACACGCCACTTCCTCCTCATCGTAGGGCTGGTACATACCTGTCAACCATGTAACCGTTTAATAACCACTTAATTGTAGTCACTTAGTTAATGTAGGAACTATTTAACCCAATCCTTGATATGTTAAAGCAAGTGGTTGCCAAGTGGTGATTTTAGGATTCACTGTGTGTACCCTTGTCTAAACGTAAGGGGTATGTGGGCAGTGGTAGGAGTGGTGGGATTGGGATTGGGATTTTCAAATCCCAATGTTGACAGTTAAGCCTCATTTCCACCAAACAGTCTAGTTCTGTTCAGTTTGTTACATATCGGAACAGTTATTATTTGTGCTTTCAAAAACCTGAAGGCATTTTTATCCATTATAAGGGACAGTTTTTAAACGCAAATGAAGGAACGTACAATGAGATATCAAAAAGTGTGTGTGTATATGTGTGTGCGTGTGTGTGTGTGTGTGTGTGTGTGTGTGTGTGTGTTTGTCCCCCAGAGGCACCTGATGCAGTGTGTGCTGATGGAGGCCAGCGGGGCCGCCTCCCCCGCCCTGGGCTCCCCGGGGCCCGACTGCATTTACGTAGACCAGGTGACACACACACACACACACACACACACACACTCATCAAATACAATACATGTAAATCCTCTTACACACCGAAGGAGGACGATATAATGTCCCCCCCCCCCCCATTGTCAGTCCCATCAAACCGAAATATGTCAGTTTGTTGCACAACCTGCATATTTCGTGGTCGAGTGGAGTGAGACAGACAGACACAGTCAGATTCAAGTGATGAGTCTTTTGTGGTAGAGTGATGAATTCATTTTGCAACATGTAGCTATAAATTAGCGATAGATTTAAGTTACTTTGTGCAGAGTAAAGGCACTTGCCATCAAACGCAGCCATTTTTCCACACTTAACTGGCAACTGTTGATCTCTGACGACACAGAGATATCATGTGATACCAATGTTGTGATACTATTGGCTCACAAGCTTTGTTAGAAGTGGGAACCAAACGTCAGACATCTTAATTCACAATCATCGAGCTTGCAACACTTTGCTGCGGAGGGGACTTTGAAGTTGAAATTATTTCCATTTTGACCCGGCTTGCCGCATACCACGCCAACCAATTAATTTGCAGTCCAGTCCAGATAGACAGTATTTTTTAAGCTATGGGTGATTTTGTGTGTGTTTTAAAATCACTGTGCTCGAGAACATGATGCCCGACCTAGCATCGCGCACGCCGTCTCACCGTGTCTCAAGTGAACGCACCTTAAAGTAAATTGACCTCCATGTCATGTCAGGAGCAGGCAGGGGTGAGGGGCATTTTGCTCAAGGGTGCCTCACAGGTAGACTGGGCGGCGGACATTGGGAATGGAACCTGCTCCCTATAAATGTCTTCTGGATGTAGAATGGGGTTTTCCATTGCATGTGGAGACAAGGGGGTGACCATGTGACACGTCCCCCGCCCCCCCCAGGTGAAGGCCACCCTCCTGCAGCTGGAGGAGCTCGAGGGGGGCATGGAAGAGCGCCTCAATGCCCCAGCCGCCCCCTGCCTGTCCTGTGCCGACTGGTTCCTCCCGGCCGCCTCGGCACGCCATCGCCTCGACCATGGGGTTGCCACATCCTACTCGTCACCAGTCCTCAGCAAGCTGGCCGGGGCTATGAAGGGCTCCTCCTCCGTGGGTGCCCGGGGCCGTGGCCTGTTTGGGGACAAGACCCGCCGGCCCAGCCCCAAGAGGGGCCTGTCGGACAGTGGGAGCGACGGGCCCCAGCAGGACCATGGGGAGGGTTCGGGGGCCGTCGCGGGGGTCAGCCCGGATTCAGCCAGGAGGCCGGGGGCCCACCGGGACTCGCTGGGGTCCCTGGGGTCCGACGGCAGCGGGAGTCTCTTTAAGGTGAGAGAGTAGGGTTTTTTTTGTGATGTTTATTTTTTTGTAAAATTGAATATTTTGGAGGTGTGGTTCGATTAATTTGGTGTGGCTTGCCGTCAGGTCCCCAGGATGAAGAACCCCAACCCGTTCTACCTGGGCACTCTGAGGAAGCTCCTGACCGAGCGGGAGTCAGAGGACATGTTCAGCTCTATCAAGTGGGTGACCTGTAGTACATACTGTTGACACTAACCCACTGTTACATTTGAAGAAAGTATACAGGTGAACAATAAACATTTCTGTAAATAACCATCAACACCACCACCACCACCGAAAAAGCAGCTGTTGAACAACAGCAGTGAAGTCCTTCTTCAATAGGGCTTGTACAACACATGCTTCCATTTTGGAAGCATGAGAGCATTGGAATGTTAGTTATGTAAGGGATAACCCACGACGAGGTGTGCATGTATCAATAAATAATGCACGACGCTGGGTTATTCACCCAGGCCATGGTATAATCTGTTGTTATACCATGGCCCGGGTGAATACTCGATTCTGATTGGCTGGAGAGGTGTTGATTTTTTTTTCTCGATAACATGCATGGCTATGACGCGATCGTAACATAAGTAGTCTTATCACCAGTCTAAAAATGAATGCGCTAAGTGAAACGTTAACTGTCAACTTGGACCGGACTCGAATGGGACTACGTTTAGAAAGCTTCCCTGTTGCCAGGTCGTAACTAAGATTGTCTCTATTTACTGGAGTAATAAGGTAACGTCTGCATTCCATATGAATTGATTGCGTTCCAGGCATTAGTCATTTGCTGTTTGTTTCCAGGAACACAAAAAGTAGTGCGAGCTAAAAGTTGTTATTTTGAGTTGCCATGGTATAAGCGGGATAATCTACTCCGAGGTGTGCATGTTTCGAAAAATAATGCACTTCGCGGAGGCAAACCCCCGCGTCGTGCATTATTTTTTGCTACATGCACACCTCGTTGTGGATTATCCCTTATGTAGTCATGGTTTTTATCCCTTACGTAGTCATGGTCACTGATTAGTAATTAATCGTGAAATTATTCGTCATTATGGGGAGACATTGTTGTGTTTGAAACTGCCACCAGTGTTTCTCATGCGAGACGTGCCTAGGTTAGCCAAGGTTACGGTATATTTACATTGATTTAGGATGTTACAGTACAACAACTCTCTTGAGTCCTGTCATTATGGCGGAGTATCACCAACAAAAGAAAACATGATCCATTCTGATGTACAAGCCCTGTAGAACATTAACAAAAATGATTTTAAAGGAGGCTTAATTCAGTTGTGACCACTAGGGGGCAGAAAATCCCCTCTGTACTGCCTGCCGGGACACAACACAAGACATTAATAGCTCTCCCTGCGTCTGTGTCCAGGCTGACGTCGGGTGTGGAGAACACCCTGTTCCACTACGTGCTGATGGAGACAGTGCAGGGCATCTTCATCGCCCCCACCCACTGCGAGGTGGCCCAACTCAGCGGCTCCATCCACCCGCAACTCATCCGCAACTTCCACCACTGCTGCCTCTCCATACGGGCCGCGTTCCAGCAGAGCCTCCCCCCCCGTGTGAGACGTCTGTCCATCCGTCTATCAGTCTCCTTTTTAATTTTTTGTTATTTTATTTATACATTTTTCAATATACAAAAATAAGACAATTTGCCTGAAAGGACAATGACTGGAATGTGAGACAGTCAGAGTAAAATAAAGAAGCCCTATCTTACACCCTACACCTAAAACACACTTACACCTAAAATCGAATTTAGCTCATATAATACAGAGTAATGTCTAACAAATTACACTCAAATAATAGCTCTCTATAATCGTACCCACTGCATCTTTAAGCAGCAGGTAGATGTTAGGTGCATCTTGGTCTAGGGATGCCTACAAGTTGTGGACACTGGGGTTCAAACCCAGAGCCTTTCGGCTGGGAGTCGGAACACCTTAACCACTAGACTATCCCACTCTATATATTATATGTATAGTTATATAAGCAATAAACCATGAGAGGCCGTGGTTTACTAACAACGCCCCCTAGCTGTTCTAAATTCACTGTAAATCACGGCCTCAAGTGGCTTATTGCTTTTATAAAACGGTTACTATAGACTACCTCGTACAATTTCACAAAATAAACACACAGCAACATAAAATGCAATCATTTATTGAAAACAAATCGTCATTCTTCTGCCAAGCAATATAGTTCCTAAAGACAGCTAAATGTCACTAACTATCACTCATAACATAGCATGCATTCAAAACATCCCCAAATCATTTAAAGTATCATTACTGAATTACAGGGTAAAGACCTCTATAATAATTGGTTCCATTGGTTATTACATTGACTACAGGAGCAAGACAATTTGTCCCCTTTGATATATTCAAATAATAATTGGATTCCTATAACCAACCAAACTATGACCGGACCTCAGTCACGCCGGTGAAGAAAAACATTTATTTGTCACATGCATAATTGAACATGTGCAACAGCAGTGAAATGAAATTTCAACAACTCAAGTAAAGCTATAAGTATAAAAAGTAAATAAAATTGAAAGTAACGGAATATCAATACAATAATAATGTAAAACTATAAATAAGTCCCATTTAATTTGTATATTTTTTTGCAATAGTTAAAATAGATTATTTACAAAAAAACATTTCAGATTCTTGATCAACTACCTGTTCTGTATCATCTGTTCTTGGCCTTTGATAGGAATAAGTAAGTACATTTGTGACCTAAGTCCTTCTGCTAACCAATCTAGCACTGAGAACGCCTGGCAAATGTTTTGAATGAATCACTGGTGGTTGCCACGGTGATGTTAATCTCTGGCTCTTGATGTTCTCCTGTGGTCCAGGGGCCGCGGGGGGCAGCAGAGAGAACACGAGGGCCGCGGGGCCTGGGCCCCGTCAAGGAGCATGGGGTCCTGTTCCAGTGCAAGCCCCAGAACTGGACGGACCAGAAGAAACCAGCCCCCACCATGACCTACTGGGTCATAGGGTATGCTCAGAGTTGGGACTAACTGTAATGATATTACTTTTTGCCTTTAAGTATATAATAATATTCTAGTTACAAATCTTACTTGCGTTACCTAAAAAAAAAAAACCTATCTTCTTCCAACTCTTACTCCGACTCAGAAATCTGACCCCCTGAAAAAGAACTCCCAAACAATAACTAATAATAAGGGCCTACTGTACCCTGACGAGAAATGTTTATCGACCAAGTATGATTATTTGAAGTAGCTGTTCTTGTGCTGTTCTTTTTTGCGTCTGGACCTTCAAGCGGAAAAGCCAAACACAGGTACAGCTCCAACGTCTGTAAGGTTCATTTGGGATTTGGATTTTAAACAGGCTGCACCTACTTTTAGCGCACTAGCGTCCACTGAGTGGCAAAAAAATATTATAGAGTGACCTCTGGTTATTATACTGCTGTCACGTCACGTTTTTTATACGTCAGTAATATTGTAACAAATTATATTTCTGACAGAGTAATATGTCTTGTTACGGTTAGAAGTAGTCCAACAGTAGGATCGAGTAATATGTAGTATGTTAATTTTTTTTAAAGTAAGGAGACCAACTCTGGGCTAGCTATGGACAACATTCCCTTTATTTAATGCAAACCAAATTTTTATTAAAATATTGCTGCGACTGAATTGTAGTAGCAAGTAGCAAACCTGCCACATTTTTTTTTAAAGATGTTAAAGGTTACCTGTTAACCATTTTTACGAGTGACAGACATACCATTAGGGTAATGATTCAATACAATGTTCTGGTGCAGCGCAGGGAGGGACATACATTCATTACTTGGTGCAACACATGCCACAGCAAGTCCTTCCATCCAATTTGATATAATTGAATGTGGAGTGTGTGTAGTTGAACTTGATGGCTGATTGAAGCAGCCTCACCTGGCCTGAGTCAGTCTGATTAGACTCTGGTGCTGCTGGGTGAGGCTGCACACCTGTGGTGCATGAGCAATCAAGGCACCCAGGATAAACCAGCTATCAACACACACTCGGAGAGAGGCTCTGACATGTCAGCCTTTAACATCTGCTCTGGCTGTAGCATTCTGCCAACTAAAACTGGTTTGTCATCTACCTGTGTGTCGGAGTAGCCCAGCAAAGCCACTTTGGTGGCATGTGGCAGTCTCACTGCCACATTGTAATAATAAAAGTAATTTCCTGTTTGCTAAATAAAGTTCTACTTGTGCTTTTTTTTGTCATGTGTTCCAGGCGGATGCTGCTGGAACCCATTCCTCAGGAATTTTATGTGTGTTTCCACGACTCTGTTCCAGAGGTTCCTGTGGAGTTGGCCTTCAGGCTATCCTTTGGCCTGGCTCTGTGAAGCCAGGAGTGAGTTTTTATTGGTTAGGTTTCCAATGACAAGGCCGTCTGCCAGTGTTCTTTATTCACTGACAAGTAAACTCAGGATTTAAAACAAGATGCACACAAGGAGGTGTGCATTGTTATCAGTCTCCTGTCTATTTTTCAAGAGACTGTTGCTTCTACATACAAATACCTCAGAAACCACAGTGTAAGTCATGAAATAAAAGGTTGCCTGCACAGGCACAAAAAGTACTATCAGTAATTAAAATAAAATTGTATTTTCATGAATTGTGTCACTGAAAACAAATTATTTTCATGTTATTTAAGATGTACAGTATTTGCTTTGTATGGAAATTGAGCTTTTTACCAATGTACATTGAGAGAATTAAAGTAAAGTGATTTCTATTGGTTCGTAAGTATGTCTCATGATCATGTCGAATTAAAAAAGTCTTAACAGGGGAAGAGGTTTGTCAGACAAACACTAGGTAGCGTATTTCAATATAAATTTCAATTCGTACACTGATTTAGTTTTTTAAGAACTACACAATTGTGCCATGTTGTGGAAACGCTAATTGGTGAGATGAACTCAACCACTTTGGAGAAAACAGCTCTGAATCGTAATCTTTAAATACAAGTATGAAAAGAGAATCCGTAAGGCAAGTTTATTGTTTAAGATCCGACCACCACCCCTCCCTTTCCAATGACATAGGAGATGCTATGGTGTCTGTACTGGCCTGTAAGGTGCCAGTTGGTTCCCAAATGATCGAGCATCGAGTAGCCAAGTGTCATGTGATGAGGTTCCTTGATAGATTTATAAATTGTATTTAGTTATTTAGTCTGTAAAACTATAGGTCATAGCTTACAAGTAAAATAGCTATTATGATTAAATATGTAAAATGTGTCCTCTCTAGAGAGGTTTTTTCCTTCTGGGCTACTGTAGAAACATGGTGGTGCAACATGGCGGGCTCCATGGAAGAGGACCCACTCCCTATATAGATATAAAGGGCACATTCTCAGGTAACGAAAACAACAATTATTATTTTAACGGGATTATACTCCAACTAGAAAATGCATTTCCTGCAGAAAACGCGTGTGAATGCTGGAAGCTGAATGATAAGCGCAAAGCAGAAATATAAAATGAATTGATCTGAAGAATCTGAAAGTAGTAGTAGAAGCTGAAATAGTAGAAGAATCTGAAAGTAGTAGTAGAAGCTGAAATAGTAGAAGAAGCTGAAAGTAGTAGTAGAAGCTGAAATAGTAGAAGAATCTGAAAGTAGTAGTAGAAGCTGAAATAGTAGAAGAATCTGAAAGTAGTAGTAGAAGCTGAAATAGTAGAAGAATCTGAAAGTAGTAGTAGAAGCTGAAATAGTAGAAGAATCTGAAAGTAGTAGTAGAAGCTGAAATAGTAGAAGTAGCTGAAAGTAGTAGTAGAAGCTGAAATAGTACAAGTAGCTGAAAGTAGTAGTAGGCTAGAAGCTGAAATAGTAGAAGAATCTGAAAGTAGTAGTAGAAGCTGAAATAGAAGTAACTGAAAGTAGTAGTAGCTGAATTAGTAATACTAATAGCTGAAGTAGAAGTAACTGAAGTAGTAACAACACTGTCTGATCCTCAAAAAGCAGCCCAATCTGGCAACACTGCTGAACGTCCCCTCGCTCGAGCGTCAACGTGAAGTCAACTGAAAAGGAATCAGTTAAACTGTGAAACTCTTAATAAATATGAATGCTATCGACATTTCGTTTGGATATTATGGGATATACAAGTCTGTAGATTTGTGACATTCTTTGAACGAAGGTAAACGATTGAGAATTGATTTAGTTAGGCCTACGATGTGTAACTGTCAGAGATCAATGTGTAATCGATGTGTAACTGTGAGATCAACTGAAGAGAACCCGAAACTTAAACTGTGATTCTGAATAAATATAAATGCTATCGAAATTTCGTTTGATAGCATTTGATAGCCCCCCCCCCCCGTAACAGCTATCGAAATTTCGTGAACACGGCTAGATAGATACAAATCTCTAGATTCGTTTAATTGTTTGAACGATGGGAAACGGTTGAAATTTGAATTAGTTACGACGTAAAGCAGCGGAAGTAAACAGTGGAAGGTCCGCCGGTTACAATGGGACGAATGGTAGAATATGACGATTTGAAACTAAAACGGCGATACAGAAAAAAGTATAACAGCTATCGAAATTTCGTGAACACGGCTAGATAGATACAAATCTCTAGATTTGTTTAATTGTTTGAACGATGGGAAAAGGTTGGAATTTGAATTATTTACGACGTAAAGAATTGGAAGAATAAGAGGCTGGGCGGACGGCTTCATTGATTTGTATTGGAAAAATAAAGGTGGAAAAAGTAGAATTTGGAAAGTTGAATGAATAGGAAAAATCTGAATAGATAGCCATAATGTCGTAATAAATCTGAACATTTTGATATTTGAATGGTTTCTGTAGCTGAAAGTATTAAGGAGAAGAGTGCCAAAAAACGTTCGGAAGAAGAATAAAAATAAAAATAATAAAGATTTCGATATCTAGAGTGTGAATGCTCGAGCATTCACACTAATAAAAATAATAAAGATTTCGATATCTAGAGTGTGAATGCTCGAGCATTCACACTAATTAAAACATACTTGATATGATATTCCAT